AACGCCAGGCGGCCAGGCAGTGCCCACGAGCTGGCATGCTAGGCAGGGGCCGCGGGGCGGCACGCCAGCGAAGCGGCTGCCTTAGGCGTGGAAGCCACACCCCCGGGCGCCCCCCCCGGCGTGGCCACTGCAGCACCCCTGCAGCAGCCGCACCTTGGGCAGGCGGTCGCGATCAGGACCCGCCGCTGTCTCCAGCATGGGCAGCTCAAAGCAGGCGATGCCACGCCCCTCCAGCACCCTGCGCAGCTTGCCATTTTTGCCCTGCGCCCGCGTCAGCACCACCTGCGCGTCGCCCGAGGCGGCGGCTGCCGCAGCCAGCACGGCGGTGCAGGATGTAGCTGTGCGGCGGGGGTGGAGGCGCGCGGGGGCAGCAGCACGCGGCGCGCTGCTGGCGGGGCCTGCATGCGGTGGGGTTGATGCGTTGCTGAAGGGATGGAGGAGGCAGCTGCCGCATGCGTGCACAAGCCAGCACCAAAGCAGTGCGGGGCAGGAAGGGCCCCCAGCGGTACCTGAGCGGCTGGCCGCCGCCACGCTGGCGCTTGTCGGCACGCGCAGCTGCTGCAGGGTGGGCCTGCCGATTGATCGGCCTCCTCTGGGTCGGCATCCTACATGTTTCGCGGCCTGGGCGGCCTGAGCAGCGGCAGAGCAAGCTGCGGCCATGGTGGCGATCGCTCGCGAGACTGGTGCCGGCCGCGCAGGGGCTGTGAGCGCTGTGACAAGCGGTGGCAGTAGCAAGGTGTCTGCAGGGAGGCGATGGAGCTGCAGGGTGGCGAGGATTGCAGTGCAGCAATGCAAGAGCCGTTTTGCCCGTATTTACGCCAGTTTTAGAGTTTCTCAGCTGAAATCCGGCCGATCAAGGGCCCCGTACAAATGTACCTGTTCGAGTTTCAGCGCCCACGTTGCCGCCATGGGCGCTGGAAGGGTGACACGTGTGCAGCATCCGACGTGTGTCCAGACAGCAGCAATCAACAGTAGACTAGTAAGCTAGATAGTCCGGGGTGATTCGCCCAACTGGGGCTGGGCCAGCAATTCGCCAGCATTGCTCAGAGGCTTGCCAGGCTGTCTGGGCCCGCTGGGGTGAGAGGACACTGTTTGTTCACCCCACCCACCGCCCTTGATGTTGGCAAAACAGGCTGGAGTCTGCTGCTGGCTGCTTCCTGTTCCCAGCTGGCATGCATTGGCAGCGCACTGCCAGCAGCATTCATCACAGCAGGAGACGGTTGACCTGCACCTTCGCCGGCAGACAGGCTGCCACAGGCCAGCTTGCCACCCACCTCCCCACCAGCGCAGACCAGCTGGTGGGCACAGGCACTGTACCACATGTGGAGGGATGGGTGGACCACAGCGAGGCTTGAGCAGTTGCGGGCCGTTGCACTCCAGCATGCGGTCAATGCCTGGAAGGGCCGGAGGTTTCTTTTGGGGTTGAAATAAGTCTCCCCAAACACTGGGAAAGCTGCTGGAAGCTCGGGCCTGCCAGCAGTGTGGGAGCCTGGCGAAAGCGTGCCCGTCCCTGCCGGCCTGTGGCTACGGACGAATGCTCCGGGCAGCAAGTTTGACTCACCCTGAAAGATAGGGTAAAAAATGGCGGAAGCAGTAAAATGAGGTACAAAAGGGCCATGCATGAGAGGAGCGAACAACAGATAATCAATGCCCGACAGGATCGCATCTCTCAGAGCAGCGCTCTCAGGCAAAGGCGGGCGCTTCACGCCGCGGGCAGCAGCTGCCGCTCGCGCAAGCAGTCCTCCACCACCGCCGCCCAGGTGTCCACCCCCGGCTGCTCGGGGTACTTGACGGCTTGCAGCCCCAGCTTCTCGGCAGCTCTTGCAGACGTGCTGCCGATGCAGGCGATCGACATCCCATGCGTCGCCTCCTCCCCCACAATCTGCACCCATGCCCTGCAGGCACGCGGGGCCACCAGCCCAGGCGCGATGAGCAGGTGGGTGTGGGGAGGGGGCGCTGCAACGGCGACAGATCCGGGGCCGGGCCGGCGCCACCTCCTTGCCTCCTCGCCGCAGCACGAGCAGCACCCTGCGCCGGTCCACGCCACGCTACACGCTCACACCACCACCACCGCAAACAGCGCCGTTCCCAGCACGGCACGCATGCTGCGCCCGGCAGGCCCCGCGGGGGCGGGGGCGGGCTCACTTGATGGCGGAGGGGGAGCCCACGGTGACGACCGCCGCCCGCCTGGCGGCCGCCAGCTGGCGCTCGTCCAGGCGGGTCACCGGCACCGTATCGTACGTGTTGAGGCGCACCACGTCAAAGCCGCGCGCGGCCAGGCCCGACTGCAGCAGAGGAGAGGGGGGGGGCGCGTGTTGTGGAGGGGGCAGTGTGTGTGTGTGTGTGTGTGTGTGTGTGTGTGCTGTGGTTGCGTGCACAACATGACATGTGCAGGAGTGGTGCGGGGCTGCGCCGCGCCCCGTGCCGCACAGACTGGGCTCCAAGGGAGCTCTTGCTGCCTGCCTGCCTGGATGCCTGGATGCCTGCCCTGCCCGCCTGCCCGCCTGCCGTGCCTGCACGCCCGCACACCCGCCAAGGGCGTGCCCCACCTGTAGCTCTGAGCTGGCCTTGTTTGACGCCGGGTACAGCACTCGCTTGGTGCCGCCCTCCAGGAACGGCAGCTCCGGGCCAAAGTGCTCGGCGTTGGCCTGATGGGCGCAGCAGGCGCAGCAAGCGCAGCAGGACGCGGCATGGAGATCAGCAGGAGCGCAGCCGAGGACCGCCGTGCAGGCCACGGGGCGAGCGGCCGCGCAGGCATGCCCAGGGCAGGTGCGGCGGCGGGCAGTGCGCCCCCGCTCCACATCACACGCACGCCCACACGCAGCCCCGGCAGGCGGGCCAGGCTCCAAACGTCAGGCAGCGCGGCAGGCAGCCCCGGGGGGCGCCCCGCAGCATGCACAGCATACAGCAAACAGCCCGGCACAAGTAGGCCTCACCACGCTGGGCACAAATTCGGGCTGCGGCGCGCCGTCTGCCGCTGCCGCCTCGAACACGCGGCCCGTGCCCTCGCCCACCACCGCCAGCCGCACGGGGGGCCGCCCCGCGGCGCGCCAGCCCTCCAGGAACACCGAGGCGGCCTCAGGGGAGGTGATGCACACCCAGTCGAAATGGGCGGCCTGCTCAGCCAGCACCTGCGTGTGTGGGTGTGGGTGGGTGGGGGGTTGGTGTATGTTGGTGTGAGTGTATGTTGGTGTGTGTGTGTGGGGGGGGTGGGGGGGGTGAGGGGGCACATTCAGCGGCCAGAGGTCAAGGTCGGCGTGCCGCGGCGGCCAGGCAGGGGCCGCGGGGCGGCACGCCAGCGAAGCGCCGCCCCGCTCTGCGCTGCTGCAGCGCTGCCCCGGGGCTCTGGCGGCCGCGCGGAGCGGCTGCCTCAGGCGTGGAAGCCACACCCCCGGGCGCCCCCCCCCAGGTGTGATGGAGGCCAGCCCTCAGGTATAGAGGCCACCCCCCCTGCAGCAGCCGCACCTTGGGCAGCAGATGTCGGTCGGGCCCCGCCGCCGTCTCCACCATGGGGAGCTCCAAGCAGGCGATGCCCCGCCCCTCCAGCACCCTGCGCAGCTTGCCGTTCTTGCCCTGCTCCCGCGTCAGCACCACCTGCGCGTCGCCCGAGGCGGCGGCGACCGCAGCCAGCACAGCGGGCGCGGACGCGGCGCGGCGCGGGTGGAGGCGCGCGCGAGCAGCAGCACGCGGCGCGCTGCTGGCGGGGCCTGCATGCGGTGGGGTTGATGCATTGCTGAAGGGGTGGACGAGGCAGCTGTCTCCCGCGCAAGCCAGCACCAAGGCATTGCGGGGCAGGAAGGGGTCCCACCTGAGCTGCCAGCCGCCGCCGGCGTTGCGCTGCCGCTGGCCGGCACACGCAGTTGCTGAGGGGTGGGCCTGCCAATTGATCGGCTGCTGCTGGGTCGGCATCCTGCATGTTGCGCGGCCTGGGCGGCCTGGGCAGCGACAGAGCAAGCTGCGGCCATAACCATGTTGCCAAACTGGTGCGGCGGGCAGCGCCGGGGCCTGTGACAAGCGGTGGCAGTAGCAGGGTGACTACTGGCAGGAGAGGAGCTGCAGGGTGGCGAGGATTGCATTTACGGCACGTGGCAAAGCACGATAGCATGAACCCTTTCGCCATTCGCCTTCTCCCTTTGCTCACATGTATCGACATCCTTGGGCTGCGTGAGGGCGCCGAGACCTGCCCTTTGCGGCCCCCGATATATGTGCATCTCGCGCCTCCTGAGATGCAGAGCCTTATTGCCGTGGCCTCCCTGTGCCGCACCACGGTCTCTGAGCCCGCGATCCGCCCGCTTGTGAGCCTGCGGGGCTGGGTGCCCGCTGCCGCCGTCGCCGGCGCCGCCGCCTGCGCTGGCGGCGCCTCCTCGCGGCGCAGCGTGTGGGGCGAGGCAGCGCCCAAGGTGAGCCATGCCTGCACGCATGCGCCGGGCGCCGCGGAGCGATAGCCAGCTCCGCCTCCACCTGCCGTCAGCCAGCCGGCAGTCATGCGTGGCTGCTGCCTCGCCGCCATGGCCTGCCGCCTCGTGCACCCACACTCTCTGCTGGCGATCATTCACGCACGTGGTGGCAAGCAGTGTTGTGGGTGCCGCAGGAGGAGGTGCTGCACCGCGATTCTTTCTACGACAACGTGGTAGAGACGTGGGCCACTAAGGTGAGGGGTTGGTTGGTGGGCGGGTGGGTGGGTGGGTGGTGGTGCGTCAGCTGCTGGGCCCAGGCCCCAAAGGAACGGGGCGGGCATGGGTGGGGCTAGCCTCGGCAGCTGCAGCTTGGCAGCGGCGCGTGGTGTTGGTCGGCCCACGGCCTGCCTGCCTGCCTGCCTGCCTGCCTGCTGCAGCCTGTGCGCAAGCTGACGCTGCAGAAGCTCCTCAACTTTGGGCGAGACGCCTGGTGAGCCGCGCTGCTTGCCTGTGGGGGCGAGGGCCAGCGGCGGCGCAGCTGGTGCCCTTGCCCGGACTGCCGCCTGCCGCTGCCTTCTGCTCGGGGCGCCTCTCCCTTGATCACCTCCCTTGCAAACGTGCCCTGGAAGCAGGCATGGGGCAAAAACCACGGGGCTCGCTGTTGTGGCTGGAAAGCGACTGACTTTGGGCATGTCTTGACACGGCAGTCTGTGCAAGCTTAAGTTCTGCCTGCCTGCCTGCCTGCCCGCCTGCCCACCCGCAGGTACGACCACTCCCGCGTCCTCGACTCTGCCCGCTTTGTGCAGCAGGAGCTGCCCAAGCGCCTGGCTCGCCGCCTCATGGACCTCCAGCTGCTGCCCTTCATCGTTGTGCACAACCCCAACATAAAAAAGGTGGGTTGAGGAGCGGAGGGAGGGTGTGGCGGGTGTGCCGGGGCGCGGAGGGAGATGGAGAGGGCGAGGCGGCAGGGGCATACGGTGGCAGGCAGCTTTGCTTGCCGGCGGTGCCGCTGGCCTCCGTTCGGAACGCGCCCCGCGCCCATGCCCTGCCCTCTCTCCTGCCACCCGTTCCACCGCACCGGTCAAAACCCGCCACCTGCCGTACCACACCGTACCGCACCGTACCGTACCGCAGGTGTACAACGCCTACTACCACGGCTTTACCACGCTGCGGGACCTGGACCCCATCTCTGACATGCAGCGCAACGACCACTTTGTGAAGCTGCTGCGCAGGCTGGTGGACGAGCACTGTGAGCGGCGGGGGACGCAGGGTGGCGTGGGCGGGGGTGTGAGCGTGGGTGGCGGGACAATGGTGGTGGTGGTGGGGCATTGGTGGTGGTGGGGCATGGCGAGGGGATGGCTGGGGGGGCGCGGCACCTGGCTGCCGCGCCTGCTGCCGCGCCTGCTGCGGCGCTGCCGCCGCCGCGCATTCCTGTCGTGCCCCGACGGCGCCCCCTCCACGCCCGCTGTGCTCGCTGTGCCCCGCTGCGCTGCCCTGCAGCCCCCATGCTGGATGCCCTGGCCCAGGGCCTGCGCGAGGTGCGCAGCAAGCCCATTGTGGGCGAGCAGCTGCAGGCAAGCGGGGGCGGGCCGGGCGCGCGCCGGAAGCGGGCCGGCGGGAGGCGTGCTGGCGGGGGGCGCGGATGCATGAGGTCGCGAGGAGCGCTCTCCAAAGGATGGGGAGGGCGCAGCCTCCGCGCAACAGCTCAGCTCAGCTCAGCTCGGCCCTCGTCCTGCCCCCCTGCCCCCCTGCCTCCTTGCCTGCCGCCCTGCCTGCCTCCCTGCCTCCCTGCCTCCCTGCCTCCCTGCCTCCCCCCCTGCCTGCCTGCCTGCCTACCACCTTCCTCCCTGCCCCCCCGCAGCTGGACGGCTTCCTGGAAAACATGCTGCGCAGCCGCATCTCCCGCCGCGTCATGGCCGAGCAGCACATCAACCTCACGCACCAGCGCCCCGGCTACATCGGTGGGTGGGGCGGCCGCCGCTAACCCCTTCCTTCGCCTGCTTTCGGTTGTGCTTTCCCATGGCACTCGGTCTCCGCCTGCACCCTCCGACCCAGTTTCCCTGGACACACACACACACACGCGCGCGCACGCGCACGCACAGCACCACACGCGCACACACACTCACACACACACACACACACGCCGCCCCTGCAGGCATCGTGTGCACCCACCTGAACCTGGCAGATGCGGTCGACTTTGCCGCCACGCGCTGCAAGCAGGTGCCGACCCTGCTGGCTTGTTGGCTGGGCTTGTCTGGCTGGGCTGGGCTGGCTGGACTGGCTGGCTGGTCGGGTGGCCAGCATCATCTGCTGCTGGGCACCTGCCGCCCTTGCGTGGCCGCCCTCTCGCCGACGGAGCACCAACACGCAGCCGCCCCGGCCGCCGCCCCCTCCTCCTGCCGCAGGCCTTTGTGGAGCACTACGGCGTGGCGCCAGACGTGTTTGTGAGCGGGGACACGAGCCTGACTATACCCTACATCCCCGCCCACCTGGACTACATGCTGTGAGCGCTGCGGGCGGCTGCCGCTTTCTTTCTTTGTGCAAGAAAGAAAGAAAGCTGGAGAAGGGAGCGCCGCTCGCACGTGGCCCGCACGACATGTTATTCGCCGCGTGCGGCTGCGCGTGCTGTGCTGTGCTGTGCTGTGCTGTGCTGTGCTGCTGATGGCACGTACTCGGTGTTGCTGCTGCCTGCTGATGGTACCGCATGGTACTGTCCGTACCGCCCGCAGCTACGAGCTGCTCAAGAACTCGGCGCGGGCCGTGGTGGAGCACCACCTGGGGGCGGTGCGCCACTCGCTGTCCGACCCGCACGCCGCCCACCGCCGCGCCAAGCTGCCGCCCATCCACGTGCGGCTGTGCGGCGGCTCGCACGAGGTGACCATCAGGTGTGTGCGCGCTGCCAGGCTGGCTGGCTGGATTTGGATGGATGGATGGATGGATGGATGACTGCTGGTTGATGGCTGGCCGGTTCATGGCTGGCTGGCTGGCGGGCGGGCCGGGGTCTGCCCACCGGTTCCCAGCCGGAGCGGCCTCCTGCTTGCGAGCACTGGCACGGCTGGCTGCGGCCTGGCGTGGCGTGTCGCCCCCCGCGGGGCCGCCGAGCTAGGCCGCCCCGCCACCCACCCCTGACCCCAGCGCCCTGCCCTGCCAGCCCTGGAGAGCCTCATTGCCCATTTCCGTGCCATCCCTGACCCCAGCTGCCCACCGCCTCCCGCTACCCCCCTGCTTCCCCCACCTGCTCCCCTGCCTGCTCCCGCCGCAGGCTGTCTGACCAGGGGGGCGGCATCGACGCGGCCGACACGGAAGCGGTGTGGCAGTTTGGGTTCACCACTACCAGCCGCCGCCAGAAGGCCCAGGCCAAGGCGGATCGGCAGCAGGGGCCGGGCCCGGGCCTGGGCTACCCGCACCCCCTGCAGCGCCCCTCCTCTGAGGAAGCGGCGATGATGATGGGGATTGGGGAGGGGCTAGGCCTGGACAATGCGCCGCCGGGGGTGTCGTTTGGCGCGGCCTGGTCGGCGGTGGAGAGCACCATGGGCGGCGGCATGGGCCGCTTCCGCATCGCAGGTGGGTGGCCAGCTGCGGCGGCAGGGCTGCAGCGGCGGGCCAGGCCGTCGGTGGGGAGGCGTGCCGCTGCGCTCTGCTGCAGCCGGTGCATCTGTTTGGAGCGGTGCAGTTTGCAGTGGGGGCGGGCGCTGCCAGCTGGCCCGTGCCGCCTCTGCTGCGCCTCTGGAGACCCAACCAGCCCTGCCATCATGCCCCGCCCTCCTTTCCTCCCCCCGCAGGCCTGGGCTTTGGCCTGCCGCTCAGCCGCCTGTATGCCCGCTACTTTGGCGGCGACCTGCGGCTGGTCAACATGCCCGGGTGCGGCCGCGCTGCGGCTGCCTGCCTGCTGCCTTCTGGCAGTCTTCTGGCAGTCTTCTGGCTTGCATCGCAATGCACACATCACTGCACACGACCTTGGCAGCTGCACCCGGCGCCGGCTCTGCCGATGTTGCCTGCCGCCGCTGCGCCTGTGCCCGCCTCGATTGCGGTGTGCTGATGGTACTGCTGTTTCATACTGCCATGGTACTGCCTGCAGGTACGGCGTGGACTCTTTCCTCACGCTCAAGCGCCTGGAGGATGCGGAGTGGGAGGAGTCGCGTGCGGAGCTGCAGACCGGCATGCTGCACTCTGGCGTGCATGCGTGATGGAGGCAGCGCGTGGGCCCCGCACCGGCGTGACTGTCCTTTCCACGTGCCGCTACCTGGCCTTCGATGTACTGTAGCACTCCCCGTTGCGCCCAGCGCCCCTAGCGCCCAAATGATACCTTCGCCGTAGTGCAAACCCTACGTCCTGCTCTGGCGCCTTGCTTCCACGACACTCGGCTTCAGAATCACAATTGAAAGCTTGGCTCATTCTTTTCAATCGCTTTGCCGTCTTAGCGCTTCCTACCCATCCCATTTCATACAGCATCCCTGGCCTCCCCTCATGATTTTAGCTTTCCCCCAGATGCACGAATACAGCCCCACCACTCACATGCTCATGAACACCGATGCAGCTGGCACCCCGCCGTCACTGCCGCCATTCATAAATGATCCTGGAGCACTGAATGCCACTGCTCCCCGTCGGACCAGGCAGGTTTCACAAGTACAGTTCAAACTCAAGGAGAAGGAGACTGGCTGCTATGGCAGCCTGAAGTTCAGTAATGGTAAAACAAGGAGAGGAAGAATACTCAGTGTGGTAGGTAGGGCTCCTGTTCAGGCGCAGCAATCGACGTGAACGGGAGAGGAGAACAGGAGAGGCGTGGAGGGCACTCTTTGGTTGCATTGATGTAAACAGTACGGCAGGGAACCGATCTCCGATCGGGATTCCCTGTAAAGCAGAGTAATGAAGGTGGGCAGGCTTGTGCCATGCCACACCAGGTAGTACCGCAGCGGACCTACCGATTCAACGCCCGCTGCTCGCCAGCGCAAGCGCGGCGCAGCCGGGGTCGTCGGCTCCCACCAGCCCGTTGCAATCGAAGTCGAAGCCCCGGCGGCAGGAGGCGGCGGTCTCGTTGCCGGCCACGCGGCACACCGACACGACGGCGGCGCCGTCAGCGGCGTTGGCCGCCCGCTGGACTACCAGTTTGCCGGCGGGATACCGCAAGGTCTGGCCCACTGCGGCGCACACGGCGGGAGGGCGGGGGGTGCTTTGGGCAAGGGGCTGGGGACGGCGAGGCGAGGCGCTGCGGGCATGAGGGCGGGAGCGCAGCTCACTACAGGCACCAGGCCGCGGGCTTGGCGGCGCGCGCTCACCTGCCAGCGCGCCCAGCCAGACCGTGGGGGCGGCATCCAAGGTGCCGGCGATGGGAGAGGTGTAGAGGTGCACGCGGTCGGCCAGGCCAGGCCCCAGCTGGGCGTCCCCCCTCTGCCGGGTGCGGTACCCCAGGAACACAGGGGTGGCGCCTGCCACCCACGTGGGCCGTATGCGCGCCCCGCTGCTGGCATTCACCGCCTGGCTGGCCAGGCGCAGGCCTAGGGGCTGCCCCGCCGCCAGCTGCGCCCCGCTCAGCTGCTGCACGCTGATCCACCCCATCTGCCAGGCGTGGGGGGTGTTGAGGCAGCGGGCGGAGCAGCAGAAGCCCATGAGGCAGCTCCAGTCGCCGTACCTGCGGCCGGGGGCAGGGGCAGGCAGGGAGGAAAGCGGCGGCGTGGGCGACTCGCGGCCAAGCACAAGAGGGCCAGGGGAGTGGCAGGGGACCGGCCAGCACCCGCACAGGCCTGCCCTGCCGGGCGGCGTCGCACGCGCGGCCTGCCACTCGGTCGGTTGGCCAACCCGCAGCTGCCGGCATCCAGCCGGGTGTCCGGCCGGCCGCAGCGCGCGCTTACTCGTCGACATAGCTGTCCCCCGTTGCGGCCCCCGAGTGGCCCATGAACATGTTGTGCCCCAGCTCGTGCGCTAGCGCCTGCAGGAGGAGGAGAGGAGACCACAGCAGGCACAGCAGCGCACCTCGGGCGCAGCGTGCTGTCAGGCCTTGGGGCTGCAGCAGGTGTGGGGCTGCCCCACCCGCACCGCCACGCTACCATGCGCACAGGCACACACAGATATACGCCCGCCTGCCTGGGCCTGCCGGGCCCACCACCCGAGCCTCCTGCCCGGCCAGAGGCACCCTGGGAGGCCAGCCCACCTGAGGTGACCCCCACACAGAGCCTCCGATCCACGACCGGCACTCAAAGTCGCCCGTGCACCCCACCACGCCCTGGCCCGGCCAGTTGCAGGGCCCCGGGGGAAGTAGGTACACCCGGTACGTGTAGCGGTACACGTCCACGCCCCGCGCCGTCAGCGCCGCGTCGGCGGCGTCCGCCCAGCCGTTGAAGTTATCAAAGGAGCAGGAGGAGAAGTCCCAGGGGATGCCGTAGCTGCACCGGGCCGCACAGCGCGGGGGATGGAGGGCACACATGTGTGGCTGGGGGTGGTACTGGTGTGCTACGCCGCAGCCAGCCGGGCAGGCAACGCAGCCGAGCACTGCACCCGGGAGGGGGCCACTGCTGGCAGCCACTCGTCCCTTTCCACAGCCTGCAGCCAGGCGGGGTTGGTTCACCCGCCGACCTGAGACCGGAGCAGGGCAGGCGCACGACTTCGGTGACGTTGCTATTGGCGGCGGTCAGGCGGGTCCTGCCGTGGGAGCAGAGGTTGAAGGTGCCGCCCAGGGTGGGGACTGATGGGTCGGCCTGCAGCTCCTGGAACACCATCTGCCGGAGCTGGGCGCGCGTCAGCGGGGCGGGCTGCGTGCCAGGGCAGGCGGCGCCCGCGGGGGTCGCCGCCGCGACTGCAGGGCATGCGGCGGCAGCACGGTTAGGCGGGTAAAGGGACGTCAGGCATAGCCGCGTCGGCCCTAGGCGGCTGCTACTTGCTGCTGCCTGGGCTCTCACTTGGGATGATGATGGTGGGCAGCGCGGTGGCAATCAGGGCGTTGGTGCTTGTTGGGAGGCCGGTGGCGATTTTCAACGGTGGGATGGTGGCGGCGCTGCCACCGGACTCGGCGGGGGTTGTGGTGACGGTGGTGCCCGCCATGAGGACCGCTGCGCAGCGCACGGCGGGGCACAGCGTTGTGAGAGGCGACAGCGGCGGCAGGAGGGGAGCTGGGGAGGCGCCCCATGCCGCCGCCAGCAGGGCTCCGTGCGCGCGGTAGGTGGGCAGCGCCGGCAGCGCATGGTGTGCAGAGGCTCAGAGCAAGTGCAGCCGCTCACGCTGGAGGCCTGCCTCGGCAGCACCACTGCCGTCAGTCGTTTCGTCGCCGCCACGGCCTGGGCTCTCGCTCCACCTCTCGCTGCCGTCGTCTGCGCCACCAGAGCTCTCTGCCGTGTCGTCTCTGCCAGTGCGCCAGCGTCCACGGACCTCCCCGGGGTTGTCCACGGCGGCGGCCCTGAAGCAGCGGCTGGCCCCCCTGCAGCCGTCTGGTCGCCCTACCCTCTGGCCGCCCTTTCCAGCCGCCGCCGCCCCGCCCTCTGCCTCGGGCCGCGACCGCCACTGGCCGCGCAGTGCGAGGCGCTGCCCCGATCGGATGCGCTCAAGCAGGGAGGCGTCATCTAGGTCGATCTGCACCCGCCTGCCGCTGTCGGTGACCACAGCGAGCAGCCTGCGGCAGGGAGAGTAGTCAGGTCGGCAGCTGCTGACACAGCCGTACCGACGGGGCTACTGTGAACGTTCATTCCCCCCGCCGACCAGGCAGGGCAAACAAAGCCAGCCTTCCTGAACTCACAGCTCGTGTGGTTGCGCCTCATGGTGTTCGCGGGCGATAACCAGGGCGGTGCCTGCAGCATACGTGCTACCGCATGTCGGATGTTGGCGTGGCTCGCACAGGAGAGCCAGCAAATGCAGGTGGTCTCGGCAAAACTAGCGCACCTGAGACCTCCTGGTCGTCAGAATCCTTCAAAATCCTGCGCGGAGCACCCGCTCTTGCACTCAGCACGAGCTCGCTGCAGGCCAGGAGCCAGAGCAGCGCCCAGAGACTTGAATTCGACATGGAGAATCTAGTAGATCGGAGACGAGGAACGCAGATTCCAACCGGGCTGCTATGAGGTAACCTGGCCTCGCCCGCTGCGCCTGCTGCCAGGGTGGCGTCAACCCATTGTTCTGGCAATCAACCCATTGTTTCTGGGCTTTGATTTGATTGCTCCAGATAAAGGATAGTGGTACGCTCCTCAAGCTCAACATCATTATACTTTAGTGTCCTCGACTTCTTCTCCGTGGCGAGAGGCCGCCGCCGCAACCCCCAACACACACCGGCCGGTCGCCTTCTGCCGCCCGCCAGTGGAGGCAGGCATCAACAGATTGCAACTCGATCGCTATTGGGTGCACAGGATGCAGTGGGCGGACAGCAGGCACTGCCGTAGGCTTTGCCGTTTGGTTCACCCCGCCCCGCCTGCCCGCCTCGCTGGCGCCTGGCAGGCCTCCGCCCTACCAAGCTCATCCAGTTCCCCCTGAGCTTCGGGGCTTTCCTCTGCTGGTATCAGACGCAGCGCTGCATTTTATCGCGTCGCGACCACCGATCTGCAGCGCCCGAGCAGATGACGCGCCCCAAGGCGCCCAAGAGCAAACAGTCGCGGGCCACCAGCGTGCCGGCGGCCGGCGGCCAGCCCTCCGCAGCAGCGACAGCCGGACAGCACCCCCACCACCAAGGCCCCGCAGGCCAGCAGCAGGCAGCGGCCAAGAAACGGCTAGCAGCGGAGGGTGGCGGGCTGCCCGCAGCGGCAGGTGCGGCGTTTGCGCCGGCGGCGGCAGCGGGGCAGCAGCCCGAGGTCGACCAGCTCGAGCGCAAGCGCATGCAGGTGGCAGAGGAGCTGCGGCAGGTGGAGAAGCAGGCAAGTGTGCAGCGCAGGGTGCGAGGTCCTGCCGCTTAGGCTCGCTCGCTGCAGCCGCGCCGGTCGCACGCACGTGCGCGCGGCGTGCCGCCGCTGCCGCCGCCGCCGCCCGCTCCGCGCCGCCTGTTCCGACGGCTGCCGTCTCAGCCCTCTTTTCTTTCTACTTTCTACCCTGGCAGATCTTCGACCTGGAGACCAACTACTTCCAGATATCCTCCGCCATGGGAAACGCCATCCGCGGCTACGAGGGCTTCCTGGGCGCCTCCAAAAAGTCGGCGGCGCCGCCGGTGCAGCCCGAGGAGCGCCTGTTCAGCTGGAGCAGCATCACGGGGCAGCTCGGGGTCGGCGCCGCGCACGGCGAGTGAGCAGGCGCGCTCGCCCGCGCGGCAGGCAGGCGGCCGGCCGGCAGGGCTGCTGCACAGCGGCGGCGGCGGCGGCGGCCCCCCAACTCGTCCGCTGGGGGCTTCACTAGTGTACAACTACGGGCAAGTTACAACAGCCAAACGGCAGGCTGACGCTGCATGCAGGCTAGGCTCAAAACATTGACATTGACATTTGGCAGGGCAGACCAGGCACGCGGCATTTCATTTCCTGCTTTGCTTCTGCTGACCAGCTCACTGACGACCGACTTTCTTCGCTGCCCCTTCTTTCTTCTTCTCCCCGCATCCACCGTGCTGCACACCCATTTTTGGTCCAGGGCACTGCCGGCCCCGGGGCCCTTTCCCGGCAGCGCGCCGCCATCCAAGCCTGTAAGGCACGGAGGCGCGGCCGTGCCGGCAGGCAGCTGCACTGAAGGCGGCCTGCAGGTTTTGGCGGCCGTGTCACAGCTTCACGCCTCCCATCGTGCTTGCTGGGCTGCCGCGTTCAGAGCATGCGGCGGGGGTTGGGGGACGGCAGGTCAGCCAGCTCCGTCAGTGCAGGCGGCGAGGAGAGCCTGCACATCATATGTGGGGCGCAGGGCAGGGCAGCGCACGCAATGTGGGAGCTTGGCGCCTGCGTACATTGCTCGTGCAGGGGGAGGGCTGCAGCCGGGAAAGCGCCGCCTTGCCGGCGCGTGCCTGCAGCAGGCGTGCCTGCGGGTGGCTGGCAGGGCCCGGCCCGCCGCCCACCTGCGTGACGCCCAAGCGCCGGCCCCCGGCGTGTGCGGCGTACCGCCGCCTTCCTCCTCGTCCCGCTCCTGTCCCGCCGCCTCCACGCCGCTGCCGCGCGCGCCGCTGCCACCACCGCCGCCGCCGCCGCCCTTGAAAGGCCCGCGCCCGCCCTGCGGCAGCAGCGACTGGCGCATCTCGGCGGCCTCGGCAGCGGCGGCGGCACCCTCGCCCAGTGGCAGGTACTCTCTCATGATGGATCGAATCTCTGCCTGCATCTCACGCCGCAGGCGCCAGCGGTACGCAAACAGCCCCGCCACTGCGGCATGGGGGGGCACGAGGCGGAGGGAAAAAAGTAAAGGCAGGGTGGGGGCAGGGCAGGGGCAAGATGCGTGTGGCGGTGCTCTGAGGGGCAGGGCAGGGCAGGGGCAGGGCAGGGGCAGGGAGATGGCATGGGTGCTCTGGGTGTAGGTGTGCGGGCGTGCGGCGTGTGTAATGGGGTCGCCGGGCCGCCAGCTGGCAGCGGGGGGGCCCGCCACCCACCCGACACCGCCACCACCGAGGCGACTACCAGGATGGCGAGGAGCCAGGCGGGCAGGCGGCTGGGGCTGAGGGAGTTGGGGAGGCACATGCCGGGGGCGCCCTGCCCGCCGTGCTGCAGGGCAGGCAGGCAGGCAGGCGGGCAGGCGGGCAGGCGGGCAGGCAGTGTGTTATATGATAGGCAGGGAGGCAGGCAGGGAGCAAGCAGGGTGTTTTCCGGCAGGCAGGGAGGGAGTGCCAGGGGTCATGGGCATTGCGAGGGGGCAGGATCAGGTAGTCGGGGGTTTGCCCGGGCAGAAGCTGGTGCTCCGCCCTGCTGGCGCAGCGCTCGGATGGTGCAGCCGCGGGCTGCGCGTGCCGTGCTGCAAGCTGTGCCGGCGCTGTGCCTGCTGCGCCTGCTGTGCATGGTAGGCCCCCTCGAGCATGCTGCGTCCCCTCCTGCCTGCTGTGCCCGCCGCGGCTGCTGCTGCCTGCAGCTGCCTGACGCGCGTACTACTGCCTGCCGCGTGCACTGCTGCGTACCGCCTCTCACCAGCGTGTACCCGGCGCGGCACTCGCAGCGGTACGACCCCGGCGTGTTGACGCACAGCTGGTCGCAGCCTGCGATCCCCAGCGCGCACTCGTCCACGTCAGCGCAGCTGCGGCCGTCGCCCTCGAAGCCTGCGGCGGGGAGGGGGTGGGGAGCGGGGAGGGGGTGGGGAGCAGGGGAGCAGGCGGTGGTGGCGGCAAAGGGGGCAGATCG